GACTGGACTGTTGTTCTGGGTTCCGTCTTCACAGGTTGCATCCAAGCCATGGTTCCAACACTCTGGCGCATTTTCTCAGGAGGCGAAAGCCCTATTTGGTGTGAGTATCCAATAATGTTGTGGCGCGCAGCATTTATGGTCATGTCACTCTTGTCAACTGCGTTCTTCGCGCATCGCTGCCTTACTGCAGTTTTCCGATGCGACAGTTTTTTGTGCCATTTGCTGAGCACGCTCTATGTTTGCGCGCCGCCTAAGCGGCGGCAGAATTTGGGCTGGAGTCATCCAAAAGTGAACGATCTGATGTTGTTGATGCCACCCGGGGCATCCGAGAGGCAGTCGGAGAAGCTTTGGCAAGTTGACCGGAAGCTGCTCAAGCGGACCCCTGACTCAATCCAGGGGGACTCGCCAGTTCAGAAGCCGATTGTGGTTGAGACACTGGAAGACCTTTTGGATTGGTTACTTGCCTCAATTCGCTATGACGTCCTCGTCGATGCTGACATCAACCTCTCCTTGGGACTGCAAAAGGCTCGAACTCGAAGCCTGAAGCCTCGCAACTGCATGTTGCTTCAGATCCTGTTCCGAGCAGATGCTCTTGTGATGCAGGCGGAGGTGGAGAAGACCGTCCTGAGCATTTTGATGAGCATGACCAGCTGTGCTAGCCTAGTGGCATATATGGTGTTGGAGGATGTGCACTTAACAGCTGATGGGGCCCTTTGCATGTTAGATTTGTTGTGCCTGATCGTATTTGTGGTGGTGATCCTGAACCTTCTGGTGGAGATCAATCAAACACTCCAAGATGATTCCCTCAAGATCTTGCAGTCTTGGAAGGAGCGCTTGGACCACATTTGCTGGGCCGTCATCAGTGATTGGCAGAAAGGCGGGGCGGACGGGGACAAATCTCGGCGGAGTGCTGAGCGTACAGGTTTGGAGAGCTACTTTCGAATCCAAACCAGACCTCTAGATGAGATGATGACTCTGATCAGAAACTGGAACCATCCAGTCTCGGTGTTTTCCATTGCCGTGACATCAGCCAGACGGAATCAAATCGCTGTGCCCTTGTTGAGTTGTATGCTCTACGCTGCTTGGCGTGAATGTATCAAGCTGCCATGGGTCGATCGACTGAATGCTCTTCGGAGAGAGGTCGGCGGCATATACATGTCATGAACCATCCTCGGCCCAGTTGCTGCCAAGCGCTGCCTTGTTTGGCGCCGCAGCCAGGGAATGGATTTTTACTGCGCCCGTGTTTGGGCGCTGTACACTTCTCACCTACAATGGCGTAGATCCTATGGTTGCCACGTGCTTTCGGGGCTAAAGCCCGGATCCCCGCGATTCAAGGAGTCCGGTGGGCCATTGCACCATACGGCGGCCCTAGGAGTGAAAGCTGCAGTTTTCGGTCTCTAGGCCCCAGCCGTGCAGTTCCGAGATGCTGCCTGAGCAAGGAAAGGCTGATGTTCTCTGGGTCGAAACTTGTCAGGTTGAGGCATCAGAACACATTTGGCCCCTGTTCAATCCTAGCCATGCAACGGGTGCCTAAAAGAATTGGTTGTTGTGGTTCCAGTCATTCGATGCCAATGGCTCTTCGCAGACTATCACAGCCCGAACTGCACGGCTGCTCATGCTGGAGACTGAAGCTTTTGATTGGGATCGCACCTGCCCAAAGTCGACCTTTGCACTTTGGTGCTTCCAGTTTGTGTCTGCGGCAATTTAGTCAAAGTTTAAAAAGCTTTGCCTTGTACAAACCAGGTCTGGGCAACTCAGCGATTTTCACCAAACGCTCATGCCTTCAGATAAGTCCATGTGGCCGCATAGCGGCAAGCTCAAGGCAGCTCCGCGAAGGCAAGGCGTTATCAGCCACGATGAGCTTTGCGCATGCACCCAGAGAGTTGTGCGCGCTTCCCCTTGGAAACAAATCCAGGCCAAACCACCTGTCCTGCCGAAAGTTGCAGGACAGGTCGCATTGATGTTGCCGTGTTCAATCCTGTGGAGATGGTGCCATAGGCATCAACACGGCACGATATCCAATTCGGAAGGGTCCGCAGGTGTCTTTGAAAAATCACGCAATACAGACAACCACCACGTTCCCTAACCATGGTCAGGTTATCTAAGGCTACGGCAACTTGAGGTACATAATTGCGCTCAGATGTTGACGGTCCCCCAAAGTGTTTTTACAACTTGGGCATTTCATACTGAGGAATGTGTTTCTTTCATGGACGGATGCATTATAGACTATAGATGTTCCTACCTTGGACATGGAGTACGCTTTCGTGCTTGAAGGCCGTGACAAATCGTCAGGGATAAGGTTTCATCAAAATGAAACTGCCCCAGAGTGGTGACACCTTCAGTGTAAGTCCGCCATGGACAATCAGCTGCTTTCCCACCACATCTCGGATGTCTCGTCGATTCTTGGGGCTTTTCTTCGGGTTTCCCAAAAGGAAAGCCATCTACGGGCACTCATTTTGTTGAGAACCCACATTCCCAGCCCCATCGCCAGCGTTGCCAGGTACAACGCTCCAGACATCTTCTCCGGTCGCAAGGACCGTGTGCTTCGAGCGCTGGAAGCCCTGGAGGTGGGGCAATGCCAGCGGGTTTGGAATGCCAAGGGAACTCCATGGACCCCACGATGTCCGAGAAAAAAGCCACCCCAAAGATTAAATACCCGCAAAGAAGACACGAAAAGACATCTTCGCAGGTGTCGTTTCATTCAGCCCTGGCAAATGGTGAATCGGTGTGAATTCAACATGGCTCTGAATTCAATGAGGGATGCCTTGCAGCATAGTGATACATAGTGGACATACATTCGAGCATCACCTTGTATAGGGGTCCGAAAGTCACATGCGACAAGCTGGAAGGTTTAATCAGGGCTTCGCTTTTGCCTTATTCGAGGCAAGCGTGTTAGCGAGGTACTTCAGCACAAGAATTGCCAGCTCCTATGCCTGTTGATTGAACAGCACGACGAGTCAGCCTGAAATGGGCCTCAGTTTCGTTGGTAGCTTTCACCACAGGTCAACGTGAGCTAAGAAGTTCTGACAGTGCTTGGGCTTGCAGTCAATATGTCAATGGAAAGGGACAATTCGTATCCTCGCAGGTTGGCTGCTCTTGAACCAGAGGTGCAAACACATTGATTGAGGATCACAGGCAAACTTCCAGCTGTTGAAACCAGCTTTGCCGATTGAGTCAAACCACCACTTGTTGCCTTTGTCGCAGCTTGCTCAAGATCCCCTAACTTCCGTGGCAAACACTATTCAGCTGGAAGATCCTGCAAGTGGATGCTGTGAAGTGGAATCTGGTTGGTCGCTTTGCTCTTTTGAGACCACATCTGTATTAACACCATATTCTCGTGAGCGAGCCCGCACACTGGCCATGCAAAAAAGGCTTCGTAGTCTCGAGAACATTGTAGTTCCCGTTGTTCAAAACGAACAGAAACTCCAGAGATGACGGTTTGTTTCCTTGTGTGGTGAGCTTTTAGGCAATATGTTTTTTGCAGGTCGACAGCAGTAATCTTTTGCCCAGGCTTTCAGCGAAGAAACACACAGACGAAACCTCAGATACATCAGGACGCTCCCAGAAAGGTTCCCAGGTCCAAAGATCAGGCCTTGACATTGGCTTTGCCCCCTACCGGCATGTCTTGGCATGATTCGTAGGCTGAGACCCAAGTCTTTTGCCCTGCCAAGGGTAAAGCGGAAAACAGCCCAACTGGGAAGCCGCCTTTTCGCAGGCTGGAAGCGAGCCTCAGCTCCAGGCCCAACTCGCCAGCTGGGACTCAGTTGCTCAGATGCCGTCCTCTGAATGTGTGTCTCTTTTTTGAGTGTATCTCACGTTTGGGAGTCATTTTGAACGCAACCAGCGGCTATTTTGGAGGTTTCCTTGTTTTGCGACAAGCCACAATCCCTTCTTGGTTTGTTTGTTCCTTCTTGGTTTGTTTGTTCCTTACACAAAAATTGGTCAGTCCCTAAACATTTTTCCTACCTGGCCACTGTGCACAACAGCAGCAACAGCTGTTGAGGCATAGTGCCGAAAATCAGATTGGCTCTGTCAGTGACTCCTTGATCATTGCACGTGCAGTTGCCCTTCAACCTGAACTATAGGTGACGATGCGCTTGTGAGGGGCTCGTTCATTTTGTTCCCGGAGTTCAAGTAAACGGCGGATGTATGGGTGTATTTCCAAAAAGTGGATCCCCACCACACAAGGCCACCCCCCGCTTGCAATCAAGCAGTTCTTCGCCAACTGACTCCCATTCTCCATGGAACAACTCTGGACCAGGGCACATCCTGTCACGGCGGTTCCCGTTCAACAAAATTGACCATTTCGTTTGGTGTACAGACAGCGCAGCAAGCAGGTGCTTGCCTAACGATATGGGACCCCTATGTTTTTTTTGTTCTTCTGAAACCAACATAATTGTCACCGCAACTTCGTGTCCATCGGAAAAGTCACCGCCCCTTTCGTCCAAGTGTCCCGTGAAACTTGGGGCCAGGTTCTGCTGGATGATCGCCTGGGAACCCAGCATACACTTTTTGAAGGGATGCTCTAGAGATTCTATGTGGCAATGATTGTTTGTGGTTGGAATGCCCATACAGATGGGTGGGCAGAAGTCCCTTTAGAATTCAATATATATATATATATGTATATTATGTATACACATATCAAGATATGAAAACCTACATATACATATATTATTTCTGATATTGTTTCATATCGATAGGGTCTGGCCAGGTACGACTCATCCCAAACATACTTTTGCCTTCAGCTGTTTGCTCCCCCTTTGTTGGGCTCTTGTCGTAGGTTTCATCAAGAAATTCGCGCCTTGTCTGCTGTTTACTCCAGCCCAAAATCCAGGGACAGCGGGTGGTTGGAATCTTTGCATGCCAGGTGGTTGGTGTCCTTTCAAGTGGTGTCTTTTTGGGTGATTGGCTTTCCTTTTGGGTGGTTTCCTCTCCTTTTGGATAGGGTCCTTTCCTTTTTTGGGTTTCCTTTGGGTGGTCTTGATGCCTGTTGTTGCTGTGTTCATTTTACGGACACCCAGATAACTGAAGCCTGGGCTATGGGAGCACCAAGCAAGGGTCCTTATAGCTTGTGTGTGTGTGTTTTTTGTTTTAGTCATCAGTTTTTGATCACATGTATGTGGGGCTCTCCAATATTGGTGAGAATCTTTGGGGAAGGTGGCCCACCAAAGCCAAGAAAGTCGGCTGGGAGCTTTTTAATGGGTCTTGTCCGCCAGTCGCTGGAGGGTGTCGGAGGGGACCAAACCTGAATTTTCCCTTTTTGGGGGGGTCAAAAGTATGGCCCGTGTGGCCGACTTGCAAGACCCCGGTGCCGCCTTTCAGTATATAGGGAGGGGCTTTGAATCTGAGTTCCACCCATGTCCTTTGGGGCCTCAGAACATTTTGGCTTTTCAAACTTTGACTAAAAAGGAGACATACCATTTGGCGTTGCCAATAAGTCAAATTACTATTTGTTTGCGACTTATCATGACTCGTCGTGTTGACGTATCCCAACACACCTATTCGTCTTGTTGTTGGCTCCTGTATCACCCTGGGCCATGACATCAGCGCCTTCGATCTGAGGCGTGGCTTCCAGCGCTGAGGGCTCAAAGTTCTTGGCCTTGGAGAGTGCGGACCCTCGGGGTCTCGCGTGGCGTCCGGGAAGTCACGGTGCTCCAGAGGATCTGTGTGTGTGTGTGTGTGTTTGATTGCTTGTCAAGCACCTTACCTTGTTTGTGGTTTTAAAGGGAAACTAACAGGATAACCAGCATTTCGGGGGACCCTGTGAATTTCAGTGGGCATGCAAAGTGGTTGGTGGACATGAATCCCCACCTGGGTGATGTCCACCAAAGGGTCTCCAACTGAAATGGATACCCGGACCGAGGGGGAGGGTTCCGACGGGAGTTTCCGTTTGGTTCCACAAAACGGGTACCTGGAACGAAATGTCAACCCCATATGGCGTTGTCTCTAAATGGGGAACCCCCTCTTTTGTGGGGGTGGTGTCTTTTGGGTCGGTTTCGTTCCAACCAAGCTGAAAAGGATGCCCTCAAAAACACGCACGTACCTTGCTGTTTCTTAGTAGGGGACGAACCGGCAGGGGATCCCCTGAAAAGAAGCCGGGGATGGGTCATAAGGCTCATTCCCTCATTCCGAGCCTGCAAGATAGTCCGAATAAGGTTCTGCCTTTGGCTTGGGTTTTAATACTGAGGATGGAACCACGAGAATGGTTTCCCCGTTTGGTCTCTAAATGGAACCGTACACCCTGAAACAATTGCCCCGAAATGATACCCAACTCGATCCTAGAGAATGGCATCTTGGGCAGATTCTGAGATGTTCTCTTTAGAACTCTTGGCAAGTGTAGTTGTTTGGATTTGAGGGCCTTGTGTTTAGGGTTGTGGGTTTAAACCTGTGGAGGTTAGGGTGATAGTTCCGCATTTGTTTGGAGGGTTGATGTACCAGGGTTTTGGACGTGGTGGCCCTGAAGTGGGGCAAGACATGGCCCCTGAAGCGTTTTGTTCAGCTCTCACGAGCAATGAGGTCGGAATGTCAGCTTGAGTTGAGCCAATGTTTTGCGGGAAATGGATGGCCATTTTACCAACGAGCAAAGAAGCGCATGTGGGAAGTGTCCATGGACGTCTCCTCTTTTTGCGATTTCGACACCAGTTCAGGCAGGTATATGTTTTTTTCTTTATTGCAACTAGTTTCTGTTGCTAGGGGTTTGGCATTCATCATTCTCAAGGAAGGAATAGCAACATGATGTTTGTGTGTCAAAGGAGCCCGACCATAGGGTGCTGCAAACCTTAAGCCCTCGCTCAAAAACAATTGCATGGCGCCTCTGCCCAAAATTGCGCGGTGGTCAAGGATATCGCGAAAATTCTCCCAAGCAGAGTGACGGTTATCCAAACTTCAACGGGGACACCGCTTTCTAGCCACAGGGAACCGTAGCCACCCCTTGCAGAAGCACAACTGGTGGTCTGTCATCGACCCAGGGCCTCACATGGGAACGGTCCTTGGATGTTCGCGTCAGGCTCGGTACCCTGCTTTTACCTTGGCTCAGGCCTCCAGTAGACCTAGGATGGAGAGTTGGTTCTTCCCAACAAACACGTTTGCCAAACACACCGCTTGCCTTTGAAACAAGAAAGGGGTCATCAGATGGAATGATTACACAGCAATCTAGATAAATCGTTCTCCAGCCGTTCTCCAGCCTGGCATATTGTGGGAGATTGTGGGAAAACTAAGTGAATCCCGCATGTCTCTTCCCAGTGGGCCATAGAGCACTGGACATTGCAAGGAGCAAGCGGTTTCTTGGACCTCCTGCTGGTTCTCAGCATCCACTCACACTTGACGTCACGCATGGGACAAGGATTCTAACTGAACTCCCCGAAGCCGCACTAAGAAGACATCCACTGAACTTCCACTTCCTGCATGGAAAGGACTTGAGCACCAACTTGCCTATCTGTGTTTTGTCCGGAGTCATCAAGGCCAGGGAGGGGATTTCTCCAACCGCGAAGGTGGCTTTTCAGTTTGCTTTCGGGACGCCTGGTCCGAGGCACTTCCAGCCATCCGCTGCTGTCTTTGCTGGCCCGAGGGCCGGAGCGGGTAAGCGGAACGCGCGGAGTACGGTGTTTCCCTCAAAAGTGATTCTAGTGCAGCGTTGTGAATTCTGGGTTCCTAATTGGAGTGGTACTAAATTGGAAAGACTGTTTGGATTGTGACAGACTGTTGGCAGACTGTTTAGTTCTCAAACTTCAGACTTGCTGGCGTTTGAAAGGCCCTACGCACATGCAGACTGACTTGCAAGTTTGAAGAATGCGGAATGCTGTGTCCTGGCCAGGACGATCAGCACGGTGCTCCTTGTCATTTCAAGATGAGTGTTGATACAGTTTCCAGTTTGAGTTGTGTTCACGACATGCCTTATTTTGCACCGTATTCATAGACAGCTCAATAAGTCGGCATGAGTTGGCACATGCCTTGTTCGGGAAGTCGCACTGATATTTATGTTGCTTCTGTGTTGCTGGCATATCCAACCTGGTTCCAAACATTGTCGTGTTTATGTTGTGGTGTTTGGGCAAATCATAGCGACCCCACAAATCACTCTAGGGTCCCCTATTGGACTCATTCGCATTATTCACCGAGAAGGCCCAAAGCCGTGTTTGACATCATTCACAGGCGTACTTCAGGTCACGGCAATGTGCTCATTTCTGGAGGGCACTGCTCATGTCTGTTAGTTCTTGAGAATGCTGCATTGTTGTGTTTGTTTGTGTTTGTGTGTTCGAGTTTGTGTGTTTGTGCGTTTGTGTGATTGTGTGTTTGTGTGTGTGTGTGTTGTGCGTGTGGGTCTTTGTGCGCTTGTGTTTGCGTGTTTGTGTGTGTGTGTGTTTGCGTTTGTGTGATTGTGTGTTTGTGTGTTTGTGTGTGTGTTGTGCGTTTGTGTGATTGAGTGTTTGTTTGTTTGTTTGCTTGCTTGCTTGCTTGCTTGTTTGTTTGTTTGGGTGTGTTTGGCTACACGTTGCCATCTTGCACACGCGCTATCCCTTTTGTTTCACATCTTTCGCTTGTTCCCCTTCTTCTATTGCTTTTGCTGTTTTGTCCTTTCCCTCCTTCCGTTTTGAGAGCAGCGTTCTTTGAGCAGAGCCCAACCCCCTGGCCATTTCTAGCAGGGGGTTATGATGCCGGCTTTCGCGAGAGTTATCAAAAGAACTGCAGCTTGCTCGTCAAGTTAGTTGAACCAGTGCTCAATGTTTGCTTTAGCACTGCTCATTTGTTGCAACCCCCTTCTCTATGTCCTCAAGGTGTCGGTCCTCTTTGCACATGTTTGCAATGTGAAAACACATTCTACGCTGATAGGTTGGGTTGGCACTGGTGCGCGTGTCACTTTGCAGCGGGTGCTATGTTGACAGTTTAGTTCTTCGCTTGAGTTTGGTTCTTTTGACTTTTGACTCTACGACCAGACCCTGGCCCATACCCCTTTAGGTTTAACCCCTAAGAAAGAGAAAACTAGGGGTATGTAATTAAATATCACATTAGGCGTAAGTCTATCATTTCTGCTGTGCAATATGCACTACGCGGGATTCACTTATTTCTCTCTTATTTCCCTTTGCAACAACTCTCGCACTTTTTCTTTTACTTTCTATCTTACCCGCCGCTGCGAAGAAATAGACCCTGAGGCACTGTCCGGGAGCGAAGTGAGTGGGAGGGAAGGTATGAGTCAGAGGATTCTCCTTCCCATGGAACCTCCTCTACAACCCGGCGTATCTTCTCTCACATTTCTTTTTCTGTTATTTACCGGGTACTGGTTTGGCTGCGGGCACATCTCAGCTCTAAAGTATGTTCTACGATCTTTGGGAATCTGGAAAAGACAGCTGAATTGGTTGCCTGGCAAGTCATGCCTGCAGGGGCAAATTCTGGACTCCACGGGGGAAGCCTACAATATGCTGCCCTTGATTCTGCCCGCTGCCCAGCTTCCTTGCGACGCGCGGGCTTTTTTGTTACAACAATCGAGTTGCAACCCAACCAATGAAATGCAAGTTCCCCTTTTGTGTTGGGATCTCTTTTGAAATTATGTTGCATTTCAAGTTTACTAAATATGACCAGAATCAAGCAATGTTTGTTTGGCCGGCAAACGATGAGGTAGTTTCCAGGCCCCTTTGAACTTTTCTCTGTTGATTCTCTGTGGGAGGGATACCAGTTTGGTTCCGACCCCACGACCGAACTGCGTGGGATTTTGAACTTCTCGGCCTTGATTGGCATTGACAGGCACAGCGTGCCGGCAAAAGGGGGGGAACCTGGCACATTGGGTTCTGCAATCTGGGCCTTTGAACTTGGCCTGCTTTGCACAAACACGACTCACAACTGTGCCAGAGGGTCAGCCAAGCCGGGCATGTGCCAACAGCTACTCAGACGCGAATCATTTGGACGGGCCGGAGGCCGCACAATTGCAGCCGCAAGATCGGCGAAACAATGAGGACACATGTTGGTGAGATGGTGGATCCCTGAACATAATATTTGTACAAACATTGCAAGGACTTCTTTTGAAGACATCATGTTCATGGGCCCACAGGTAGGGAGTTTTGGCCACATGCGCCATGACCTATGGCCCTGGGATTGTTGCCTAATGCCCCGTCAGTTCCACCTTCCCCCCGACTAGGGTGGGTGTCCCCACGTCTCGGCTGACTCTGGATCAGGCGCGCACAGTGCGCAGGTGTGGAGCCCCAGGAAAAAGGAGAAGCCGGGGCTGCAGTTTAGAAGGCCTTTCAAAGGAATGTATGAACCGCATGAACCCCCCAACACCCTCCAACGACTGCTTTCTGGACAAGACTTTAAGATTTGGACGGGCAGAACCAGTTGCCTATGAACTCCTAGTTTATGGGTTATGAGTTATGACATATGCTCCAATCATGGCAAAGCGGAAAGGGTCCCAGAGCTTGCGCAGTTGCTGGGTTGTGGTACCCATTTAGGGGTTGGTTTAAGAAACCAAAAGGATACCCGCGGGTCAGGACGTTTGAAAACCCATGATTGCCCGGCTTCGCCGGGTTGGTAGAGCTGGCCATTTGCCCGTTTGGACATTTGAGCAATTGCCTAGGATTCGTAGGAAGCCATGATCGCCCACAGGGTGTTTATGTCACTGTGCCCTTGTCGCGTAAGTTTGCAATTGCTTGATTGACCCTCTGTTTGTTGAACTTGAAGATGCTTTGTGGCTTGAATACATCAGTGGGGGCCGGCTTGGTTACCAGTGAAGACGAATGCGGGTTTCTTTCTCAGGATGACATTGTAAAATTATGGCAGCTTGCGTTTCCTGCATAAACCTTGCATTCGGGAGTTCGTTTGAAACGTGGCAGCACACTTTGTTTTTGCTCTTGGCTGCCTGTTTCAGTGATGTGAACGTTGTCAGACTCATATTTGTTTGTGTGTCGAATTTATTGATTCATCCACGTGTTTTATTTGGTGGTTGGGTGTTATTGAACCAGAACGATTGAGTTACAGAATTGGTGAACTTGTGGGCTGTGCAACGCGAACACTTGGCGCATGTCAAGGTGCAGGTTCCGTCCATGCCCAGGCCAACGGCACCTTTTTTTAGGGGATTCCAGTTGCCACCATAGAAAGGATTCCACCTGTCTTTGAAGTTTCCTTTGGTTGTGACAGTAGAGTCACTAGGCTTGATTATCGGGATGCTTTGCCATGGCCAAGGTGATCTGAGCTCACAGGCAACCCAGCTCCAAGAGATCTTGGTGAAGAATTGTGGTCCTTGGCAGCCCAAGCCGGAGGACGACTTGGGGATTTGGGTCGCCAAGAACAGCATCCCGTCGGCCCAAGCTCCCATTCTTCGCCGGATGATCCGTGTTTTGTGTCCAAAGAAAGAATTACCATCAGCCGACTATTGACAGCTCGCCGTTGTTTTTCGGAGAACATTGAGCTAAGTAACAGTCTTAGTATCATGAACAAGGAATGTGCTGCGCCTTGAATGGAGAGAAATGAGAGAAGTTGACTTAATTGATGCAAAAAAGTGAGGCATGTTTTTGTTTTCTTTATTCCTCGTTTCTCATTGGTCAGGTTTGTCAATTTGATGGAGACAACACGAGCCACAGCGACGTGTGAAGACTGCCCTTCGAATGAGGGCTGCTTGTTGTTCACGGATGCCGTGGTTCCTCCCTCGTCAGGGATTGTGAGGCTCAGAGAGAATGTTGGATATGAGATGGATGGCAATGGTTTCTTAAGTTTGGGTTCAAACACTGCCAAATGGGGGCTAATTATGTTTACAAGTTGCCTTTTGGTGAGCGCTGTTTAAACGGGCCGCACATGGAATCTGTGCAGTTCTGAAGCCAACAGATACTCTGCTCAGTTCTGGGGCTCGAACTGGAAAGGACGAATTCGCGTGTCGAGTGTTCAATGGCATGACTACGGCTACCCGCAACTTCTGTTTTGTTATCTGTCTGTGTGTGTGTGTGTGTGTTTGTTCACGCAGCTATGTCATTCGAGTGATGGATTTCCTGCAGGATGGTGTCCTTTGCTTTTGCTTCTTAGGAGAACCAAAGGCTCGGCCCAAAACCAACCTTGGGACCTTTCGGTTTCCTGCTTTGGTCCCTGGTTGTCACTTTGTCTGAAAAGGCAAAACGATCTCGAAGTCCAGTGCTTGAGAAGCAAGCGAACAGGAGTGACACAAGACTGAGCTCAAATTTGGACAATGATCCTCATGCAAGATGATCATGTTTTCCCGTGGTGTCCCACTACAGGGTACGGGTCAGGATCATGTTGAACAACCTAGAAAGAGGAGAATCGCCTACCTAGTGGAGGTTTCCGGGGTTCCACAAGCAAACCCACTGATTGTCCCCAAAAGGGAGGCAGTGCTTTGGGTTCCAAGGACATCTACTCAGCCCAACAAATCGCTTCGATTGACGTGCAAACACCGTGTTTATCTCCAGCAAAGCCCAAAGCATGTGTCCAACAGCAGCTCCCCAGACAAGCTCTCCACAGACACAATGTTTGTTCTCACACAACGATTGTGGATGTCAGTTCTTGGAAGAAGAATCTGATTTCAGGCTCGATACTTGTCTAGGCAGCCCTGCCTTGGGTGGCAGGGTGATTATTTTTGCCTATGCAGCAGGCCGTAGACTTGCTTGCTTGCGTCGGCTGCACTGTTGCCCTGCAGTCGCCAACATCAATGACCGGCGATCATGTTGATGTTTGAATTCTGTGAATTCCTCTTCGTACTTTGTGCTTGCGTCGACACCCTACAGCTAAGAGCCGCAGCACTCCACATGAGGGAGCATGGACAACGACAGTACCAGCACGAGCAGCTGGTAGAAGTGAGCGGTGACTGGGGCGCAGCATAAACAACATCCTCTGGAGGATGCGGCAGACTCTTGTTCCGTTGTTGGTTTGCATCTTGGAAGAAATCATGGAACACGTAGCAGGGGAATGTGATTGAAGGGTAAACAATGCCAGAATCTCTTGGGGCTTGGTGGTGGGATGATTTTCTTGTGCCACCTTAGTTTTCTTCTTTTTGCCCTTTGGGCTCAGCAATCTACTTTGTGGTCGGCGGAATGTGTAGCCCCTGCCCTCACCACTTCGCGGTTCACGCCCCTTACCCGCAGCTAACTACCAGAAGGATGACTTGAGACCACGGTTTTGTACGAAGCTTTCCTTTCCCCCCGTTGATCGATGTCGATTGGTTCCCTGACGGCGTCCGTCCTGCAGGACATTGAGACTGCGCTGGCACGAGGGCCGCTGGCTTAGCGTGCCCCTGCCCTGAAGCAATGGGTGAGTGAAGCAGATTGCTAGTGGGCGGCTCACCGTCTCCTTAGTCTCTGAAGCGACGGGCTTGAGATAGTGGGTTTGTGTGCAGTTTGCTGAAAGTGTGTCTTCCGCAGAGTGCGGCGTCCCAACCCAGCCGCGGCAGGTTCTGGTCACTACCAGCTGACCAAAGCGGAATGCACCTACGTGAGCGCGAGGCCAGCGTTCAGATTGCTTTACCACCTGTCTGCCCCTTCTGCTGGGCACTTGAAATGCGCAAATCCCATTTTGTGGGTCAATGCTTGGCAATTGTAGGGGGAACAAGTTTCCAAAGGTACTCATAGCTTGCCTTGTTGCAGCAGGTTTGCCTTACCTCGGGCTCGCAGAACGCCGGTGATTGGGTTCGCAAGTTTTGCCTGGCTTTGCTTGAAGATTGCTAGTTGCGCGGTCATGCAGTTTGGGTTTGCAAACGTTTGCTTTGAGGTTTATGTCTGTACCACAGCTTACTGGCCTTATCGAGACACCCTCACTTGACAATTGTCGTCGCTTAAGCTAACTTGGCAGTGTGGGCATTGCCCAGATGTATTGTAAGCTAACACTATGTGTTGCAACACGGTCTGCAGGAGGCCAAAGTTTTATTGCTTTGTAGTACACTCACCAATTCAGGGAACCGATTGCGCGCGGGTTTTCAGGTATCATGTGTGCAACTTCCCGATGCCGAGCCCAGCCAAATTCCATCGCTGTATTTGGCGTTTGATGTCACCTCTTTGTTTAGGCTGCGCAGGCTTTGGGCCTTCTAGATATTCTGGAAGATTTTGAACATAGGGGACGTCCCCATAGCTAGTTGTGCTCCCTAGGTTTTCCCATCAAAACAATCTCAAAAAAACTCTACTCGGTCAATCCCCGGTTGCACTTCTCCCCCACTAGTCCTTTGTTGAAGTTCTGATTCTCATGCAGGCTGACCGCCTTCTGGACCGAGCAAAGCGAGAGATGTGGCGACCAGGCAGCATCTCGTGCCTCGGCTGAGCAGTTGTTTAGAATTAGGGGACCTGAAACCCCAGCCCTTCGAACACTTTGCACATATTCGCTGTTGTTGCCCCAGAGTTCATCCCATGCGCAAAAATGGATTGACGAGCGGTCTCAAAGCAAACGGGATGTTTATAAGAAGCCGTACACCCATAGCTTCCAGCCTTTGCGCACAAGCGTTTGTATTACATGGCAGGTCTATGGTGTACCTGGCAGGATTGGTGGCTTCAATGGCTCGTATATGTTCTACCAATGGCCTTGCAATTATTGCCGGACTTGGCTTGTTAGTTGTTGTTTTGCCTTCTTGTGTTTTCTTCACTTTCCCTTTCAACCAACAACAGGTTGTTGCTTGCGGAGGCTCTGCAGATCTCGCCTTGAAATCTATATGCCGAGCCCTGTCGCTTACATGCACTTCCTCACAACTGCCAAGAATCCGCGGCCAAAGCTGCGAATATGTTTCGGAGGGTCACATTCACGGAGCGACAGCTTGCTGAACTGTTTCCCAGGCGAGTAGGTCGAACTCAGGCGCCTGGCGTTTCGAACTCAGGCGGCGAGAGCTGGAGACGCAGATTCGGAACTTTCTCTGTTTGCATCTCTTGGGTGAAGCTGCGTGTCGCTGCTGCATGAGGCCGGGAGTTTGCTAGCTCTACACAGATGGCATGTTGCGCCCTTGTTTGCTTTGTGTTTTTGTTGTTTGCTCAGAGGACAGGTGCCATGTTAGTCTACCTGAACTACTCAGTAGGGATCTGTAGTTCGAAGACGTCAAACACAGGGGATGGCCTGCTTCAATCCTGGAGGCAGCCTCGTATTCACTTTTGGCCACTCACCTCTTCGTGTGAACATGCGGCTTCGTGACATCTAGATGAACAGCATTTCGGAAACAACAGAAGCTAGCTCCAATACTGCCTGACAGCCCTGCTGAAAGGATGCGGGACAAATTTCCAAGTTACATACCAAAAAAAATGCAGTCCTTTTCACAAGACAACTGCATCAAGAGCACTTTATAAAAGTATACTTGACGCTCTCCTGTCAACCACAATCATCCTCTTTGTGTGCCTGACACGGGCGTTCACTCTTTACCTGACATTGCATCGAGCAGCCGGCAAGTTCCCTTGCCAGGTTCAGTTTCGTACGAGCGACCCCATCCACTCAGGCGATGGCATGGGTTAGCTCGAAGCCTTGACCTCTTCAGTTTATGGACGGGGTTAAGTTGAGCTCGGCTCCCAGCTTTCCTTGGCAATCTAGCTGTTGCTATTCGAAGCACGTCCCCCCCAGGGCTCAATCACTGGAAGCAGTGCTCAAGTGTCCAAAGGGCCTTAGTGGAGGAGAAGCCAGATCTCCCATCAGAAGCAGCTAGAAGTGCAAAGTCTTATTTTCCGAGTGTGGACCAAGTCTGGCGCATGGGCTGCTAGCTGTTGAGCGAAAAATGTGCATTTGCCTGGAAACATGTGGGCAACTTGGAGCTGTTGTTGGGCTTAACATGCGAGCCAGCGAGAAAGAGATGGGGAACACGAGACGACAAACACACGAATGGCAGAGAGACTGTGGCGAGGGCTTGAAAGACGAGATCTGGCACTCGGCTACCAAAGACTCATTGAATGAGCCAATGAATAGTCTCATAAACCAATGGATTAATGAGTGCAATGATGCAGGCTTGCATGAATCCATTGAGAGGCCCCCAACCTCTTCTGCCTTTGAACCGGAGGGTCAAATCGCTTGGGGTGTGAATGGGGCCGGACTGATTGGCAGGTTCAAAAGGACCCCAAGCGGAATGCTCGGGATAGAATTGGCACCGGTTGCCCTTCCCGGGCTGGATCTACAAGATGTCAGGACATCTTGTCGCAGAACCGCTTCGTCCCCCTCCAAAGCGCGTGCGGGCACCTGGAGATCCTGATAGGCACTAGATGTTGTTTTGGTGTATGGCCATGCTTTACCTTTAGCAACCTCAAAGAAGGTTGGTGGACATGAAGCCCCGCCTGAATGATGCCTACCAAGGGACCCCAACTACACTTCACACCCATATGATATATGTGACTTTTTAACATGGGGGGCTTCCCTTTGGTTTTCCTCCCACGTGAACCCAAAATGAGCCACAATCAATACCCGGGTAGAAGAAGGTTAGTAAGGGACATTCCCAACCATAAATAGCTGCGGCGGCCTTCTCAATTTCTTTACATGGTTCTGGGTAGACCACTTTAATACCCGGTTTTGATGTTGACTCAAATGGGTCCTCTCACCAAACAAAAATCGCAGACAACTGGCACCAGGATTTCACAGGCCCATCCAGCGACGTGCGTCCCGAAAGGCGCACTGGGCAGTTGCGAAGGCGAGCCATGAAATGTGAAGTGGATGAAGGGAGCTACGCACACAAGTTGGCGAGCAATATTACACGTTCACCAAATGCCTACAATATGTTCACCAGACAACCTGCTTCCATTGTACCTTCTACATGCACGACAAATGAGCCGCTTCAAGGCCAAGTCAGCCGGGATGGTTCACCACAGTTCTTTGCGTCCGAATTTTCTTTGAAACAATGGACCCCGAGCAGGGCTCCCTTTGACCTTCACGCGGCCCGGAACTCGAACTCAGGCCCGGGCTCTGGTGCCGTTGGGGGCCGAGGTGACGGGAGGGCACGGGACAGTGATCTAAGGGGGCCACTTGCAGGATTCAATATACAGGAGCTTAGACCTCCAGCAACATACGATCATTGCGAGACTACAACTGGGTTCGTAGACAAATACACGAAAGGTATGACACTGGCATTGAGAGGCTGGTTGATATGCACACTGAGACTGTCAGCAGATTGAGCAGACATGTGTTGCCAGCACTTTCGGGCTAAGTTTTATAATTATATAATTATATTATAATGAGATCCAGTCGACATTGTTAACGTTCAAACCGTTAGATGATTCATGGGTCGAGGACAAAAAAACACAATGAGTCTTATGGGGGTTTCTCAAAATGGCGTACCCATTTTGGGTAGGTAGAGGAGAAGCTTTAAAGGACACCAAGTGATCTGGGGCACCACTATTTTGAGAAACCCCCCACTATTTTGAGAACCCCCCCCGATATCAAAGAAGGGAGAGGTGCAAAGCCGGCGAGGAAGGCTGTTGGGACCCGGCATGGGTAAAACTCACCAGAGGTCAGGTCAAGTCTCTTGCCCCATCCTTAGTTCGTTTGCCCCCAAGCCATGGATATCGGCTGCCCCCAAAAGCCTCAGCGGCCTGTGAATGGCAACAAATATTCGCTCGAAACTTGCTCATGGCATGGTGTTCTGCGCCGTTTGATTCACGGACTCCTCTGGGAAAATCACCCTTTGCTATTTCGAAATGCCTGAAATCATACCGATGGGCCTTAGTTTCCTTTGTGTTTTTCATCGGGCCTGCAAACTCTGCAAACGACCAAAATCGTTTCCCCTCTTTATATTCAACTTCTCTTTGCAGATGATACAGTGGACTCATGGGCGTCAGCATGTCAGAGCCCTTCGGGGCAAGAATTGCAATGATGGTTCAAGTCCACTATCAATTGCTTGTAGACAAACGACAAACTAGAAACCATCTTAACGGCCTGACATGGCAAGCTGATGAATGTTTATTAGGGAAGACCCTCAAATCGCCCAAGCCCACAACATCTGAGCGTCTCAACCTGCGTGAAAATGGACGAATCTGAGCCTCTCGAAGCTGAACGGCGAATCCGAGGCATGGAGATCGCGCCGCTGCAGCTGCCTCCGTTTCTTGAACGGAGAAGGGGTATCCAAACGGGTTTTGGATGCCCAGCACCCAACTGGATTTTTGGACTTAGCTTTGACATTGCCACAGACAGTCCTTTGGGGGTGCTGAACATAGCCCATGTGTTTTGGATTTGCTCGAAAGGAAACCAAATGGATGGACCATTGTTTTCATATGTTCAAACCCGATGGAATCAGAGGGCGGAGATCTCATTGTCTTGAGCGAAGGGCCCTGAATGTTTGAAAGTCATAGATTGGAGACATGGTTGCGCCTTTTTTTGTCAACGGGCCTTGGCGAAGCTCCATCTATGTCTATCGGTGAGAAGTGAATGGCTTTGGTACCATTCGAAGGCGGTGAGCTGATGTGCACATTGTCAGAAGACTAAGCTGTCCTTGGTATGGAGGAAGGCTGAAATGCTGAAACCCATCTAGCCAAGCTGTGCCCTCAATTGTTATTTTTTTGCGCAAAGCACTTGTGTTAGGTGAACCGGTCTTAAAGTCTTTCTGATCGAGCTAACTCTTTTGGGGGGGCTTTCGCCCGCGGGGTGACTTTGCCCAAATGTGGTATCCCCATGCCGCGGGCTTGCATAACACCAGTTCCAAGTAGAATTACCCCACTCTCATCATATTCCGTGAATCAGACAGCTGGTGTTGGAAGCAAGTTTGAAGGAGCGGTTTGTTTTGCTACGAGCGTACTTGCCCTTGCCAGTGCACATAGTTTTAGCTTGGCTGATTGTAATGCGGGGGCCTGATTGCTGTAGTGAAGGATAAAGCGAGACGCCTTAAACAATTGAGGGACAATGGAGCCTTCGAGTAGTCTTTGGAGTATTGCTTAGCATTTCTTTTTCGGATTACTATTGGCTTAGTATTGGTTTAGTAGTTTGTTGTGTAATTAGAAATGTGGGCCCTGATTTGTCATGGTCTTTCTTGTTTGGGGAATCTTTTTTTCACCTGCAAGCAGCCTTTCTGATTGGGGCACCCTTTTCATTTTGGGGTACATCCGGCCCCGCAGTTGATATGCATCACCACATGATGCATGCACTAATACCTGTACACGTGCAAGGCGCACCCCAAACCCTCCCCAAACCCGGGAAATGGTTGAAAGTCTCGTCTATGGTTGGCGCAGCTTTGGGAATGCCGCTCTGAGGTTGTGAGCGAGCGAGCAGCTGCGCATATTTATTCTATTTTCGGAAAAGCGTGTGTGTGTGTGTGTGTGTTGCGATCGTGCATCGTGCACTTGTGACTTTCTACAAAACCAGTAGGGCTGCTACTGCGGCACCGTCGTTGAAGAAGTTTGTGCACCTTTGCAACCATTGTGCAGGCATGTGCGGGCAGAGCTTGGGTGCTAAAGGATGGACTCCCCCCTTTTTGGTCGGTGACATTTTGAGCTGCCATTTGAGGGTGCCGCAGTGGCGTGGGCAAAATCTGCCTATGGGCAACTGAAGGCACTCGAACATCCTATCGCATCTCAGCTACTGCCATGACGTGTAACAAGTAATCCTCCTGTCGATTTCTAAACAATATTGGCTTGATTGCCTATAATTCCAGGGAAACAAGATCACTCCTTGATTCTCCATTTCTTGCTTGGAGAACCATTCATTTTGATTGCATAGGACCCCCAGCTGTCTTGGATTTCAATGAGTCAGGCCAGGGGTCATTTTTGTGCGTTTTCGATGCAAGCGGCTGAGGACGCCTGAGCTGAGCAAAACGGTTTTCGCTCGCGGCTCGTGTCAGGCACCGACGACCTGAAGTTCGGGGACAGCGCGACATTGGAGGCAAGACCGCGGAAACAGAAGCTGGAAGACGGGGGGCACGTCTAAGTCGTGCCAGGATCATTGCACTTCGCACTTTCTTGGTACTTGCACTCTTTGAAGGTCCGTAGGACGCCATGGCTGAGCGATATTTTGAGATGGCAAAAGCGGAAGGGTGATACATGATCCAAGTGTTTGACGCCCGAAGCATGGCAGTACACCGCTAACGAACATGGTTCCTTTGAATGCTTGTTGGCGCAACAATCCCCCGGATCAGATTGACATTGGATGATGACATGTGATTCTTGCCTGGGTGCGTATATAATTATATATAAATAAATATATATATATATATATACACACATGCATGCATAATGTGGTGAGTGGGAGAAGGTTGGTTCCTGCATCGATATTTTTACCATCGCCCTTCTGCCTTGACACGTTCATACTATCAAAGGTTGGTAGCCACGCAGTGTTTACTTGCCCGCAAGTTGCCGCATGCAAGTGGACCCAACTATGGAGCATGATGCCCTTTCGGAGTCGTCCAAGCCCCCGCGACAAGGAACATTGGTTCCAAATGCCAGTAGACTTGTAGCCAATAGACAAGAGGGCGAGTTGAACGAATAGAGCATATGAAGAATTATTGCCGCGCTGATCTCATTTCTTTCGTAGATGAATCACTACCACCACTGAGAGACGATTGCCAATGCTCAGGTTGCGCTTGGTGCAAACTAGCTGGGCATTCTACCTATTTCTTTACTTGGGGTTGCAGCCTTCACCTTCCTTTCTGGATTTCCCATTTCAATCCGGAGTGTCTCGAAGCTCTTTAGAAGACCAACGTCGAAACTCCAAACCCTAGATAAAGCGTTCGGAAGCCTGGCCCGAGGCACCACCGATGCACCAATACACCGATTGCATGCACCATATCTGACGACACGGCGATTGTATGCACCAATGCACTGACAGACCGCCAACAGGCATGAATGAATTCGGATTGCAAAATTAGACACGATTCAGAAACTGGGATTCAAGGCTACGGCCACAAGCAGGATTCTAGAACCAGCTAGGATTCCAAAACCAGGATTCGGCGGCCAGACAAATCGGAATGTGAACACCAGGATTGCTAACTAGGGGCTGGCGAAGGGTTCGTTCAGGGCAGGCTTCGTTGAGGGTTGGTTGAGGGGTGGTTTTAGGTTTGCCTTAGGGTTGGATTGGGGTTGGTTTAGGGTTGTTTTGGGTTCGTTTGGTTGGCTTACGGTGGGTGCAGATTAGTTTGGGGTGGGTTTAGGGTGAGCTTGTTAAGATCGGTTTGGGTTTGGGTGGTCTGAGTTTGGTTGTGGTGTGGGTTGGTGTAGGGTTTGTTTGGGTTGGTGCAGGATTGTTTTGGGTTGGTGTAGGGTTTGTTTGGGTCGGTGCAGGATTGTTTTGGGTTGGTGTAGGGTTGTTTTGGGTTGGTGTAGGATTGTTTTGGGTTGGCGCAGGATTGTTTTGGGTTGGTGTAGGGTTGTTTTGGGTTGGTGCAGGATTGTTTTGGGTTGGTGTAGTGTTGTTTTGGGTTGGTGCAGGATTGTTTTGGGTTGGTGTAGGGTTGTTTTGGGTTGGTGTAGCGTTGATTTTATGCTGGGTTGATTTAGGTTGCTATCAGTGACTCGGCGTAGTTGCCGCACTGCCAGGCAAACGGCATATTTGCGTATTGGCACAAGTGAGACTTCTGACACGGATCCCCAACTCGCAGCTTGATTCGCTCAGCCCCAAGAATGTCAGGATGTTAGAACACTCCCATCCAGCGTGCCCTGTGCTTGGCGCAGGAGTTTTTTTTCAAGCCGGCCAAAAAAAGCGGATCTCTTCCCCATCGAAATCGACAGGTTTGGGTGTTTCATGTTGTCCGATTCCTGCGACTGCGTTTTGTGCTTTCAGGTGATGCACCAAGCCTACGGCAACGCCAAGTTCTGCTTTGTGCCCAGAGGCCCGTTCAGAACTGGGCGTGTCTCAGTGAGGCTCAGCATCCTTGGAGTTGGTTAGAAGAATTAAATATCAACCACACATTTTGAAGGTTCCCCTATTTGAGAAGCCACATGTGCCATGTGATAGGAAACCAAGGAAACCGCCCTTTAAAGCCAAAAGGATGTGGGTCCATAGTGGCAACTGGGATCCGCTGGGACGTTCAAAAGACATGCTTGCTTGGGGTTAGTTGGGGTGGTCGTGATTCCTAGGGGACCATGAGCAACCCACGTCAGGAGTTTTGACCATGGCATTCGTGGGAGACAAGCACATGTACAGCTGTTTTGTATGCACGGGCGGTCGGACATGATTTTCTTCACATGTTTGAATAGTGGCAAGTACTGGGCGGTCTTCATGAAGTTCTGCTCGTCGCACGACTAGCTAGAATATAGCAAATCCACACTGAGGTTCTGGCACGCTTGAAACACAGAGAATTTACTTACACTCCGTGAGATTCACTCTGAAGCAGGGCAAGACCTGGGCGCCGCCCAGTGGGGTCAAGTCTCATGTCCGAGGGTGTCCAACAAGAACATTCGCCGCGCAAGATGCTCAGTGTTTGCCCCTGTTCCACTGGTTTTCAAACAGCATCAGAACGTCTTGTCATTTGACATATATCACTAATTCGAGTCTTTCTGAATGTTTGAGAACGGACGCGGTGTTGGTGTTTGTCAAAGTAGAGAAACACTTCTTGGCTGTTTTTCAATGAACAAGTGCGCGTCAGCTAAAGGTAGATTTACTAGTGTGTCTGAAAGTGGGCGGTATTTTGAAGGGCATGGACTTTCCAGGTGCATTCTTCAGGACATGTCGCAACTTGCGCCTAGAGTCTCAACGGATCCCTTTGCTTGATGGATCGTGATAAATCATGTCTTGATGTCTTCAGCTCCTGTCTTCCGCCTGACACCAACATTGGTCGGATGCGTGAGATACTTTACTTTCCCAGCGCGACCTCAAACAATGCTACCCACCAAAGGCTTGCCTCCGTCCAAGTAGGTGCTCGATCTGTCGCCACTCGCAGGCAAGTCGGGCTGGTCTCTTCGCTTCTTTGAGGCAGGGGACAAACGACCGATTCGAGGGGGTAAAACGACCGGTTTACCCCCGAATGAAGGTAGCCTACGTATTTCCATTTTGTGCGTGGTGGCAGTTTGCCAGAGGAAATGTCCTTTCGATAGTGCCCGCAGATGTGGCGTTGGACTTTTTCAGGTCTGTCCCGCACCACCACCCCCCCCCCCCCCACGCAGCAACCCCCCCTCCCTCACCTCTTAAACGGGGGGGTCCACCACCACCCCCCCACCCCCCCCTGCACAGCAAGGGGCGGGGTTTGCACCACCACCCCCCCCCCCCCCACGCAGCAACCCCCCCTCCCTCACCTCTTAAACGGGGGGGTCCACCACCACCCCCCCACCCCCCCCTGCACAGCAAGGGGCGGGGTTTGCACCACCTCCCCCCCCCCCCCGGCCCCGGAAGCGGTAGCGGGGGGGTTGGGGGGGGCGGCAGCCCCCCCCATGATGCTCGAAGAAGAGCTTGTTGCCCAATGTACTAAGTAGCGGGGGGGTTGGGGGGGGCGGCAGCCCCCCCCATGATGCTCGAAGAAGTGATGATTCAAATAGGCGCGCAATGCAAACTATGTTTCAAGGGTGAAGGAGTGATGATTGAAAGATTGCGGGCGGATGTTCGATGTTCGAAGTGATGATTCGAGAAGAGGCGCAGCTAAATCTTGTTGCCAAATGTACCAAGTAGCGGGGGGGTTGGGGGGGGCAGCCCCCCCATGATGCTCGAAGAAGTGATGATTCAAATAGGCGTGCAACGCAACCTAGGTGGAACATCCAAACAGTAACAGGGGGATGCAACCTAGGTGGAACATCCAAAACGCAGCAGGGGGATGTTCGAGCAGGGGTGCAACTAAATCTGAATGGACAATCGTTAAAAAGTAGCGGGCATCCCCCCTATGATGTCTCAAGGGTGAAGGAGTGATGATTCAAAGAGGGTTTAAATAGGCGCGCAATGCAAAAAATGTTTCAAGAGTGAAGGAGTGATGATTCAAAGATTGCGGGCGGATGTTCGAAGTGATGATTCGAGTAGAGGCGCAGCTAAATCTTGTTGCCAAATGTACCAAGTAGCGGGGGGGGGTTGGGGGGGGGCGGCAGCCCCCCCCATGATGCTCGAGGAAGTGATGATTCACATAGGCGTGCAATGCAACCTAGGTGGAACATCCAAACAGTAACAGGGGGATGCAACCTAGGTGGAACATCCAAAACGCAGCAGGGGGATGTTCGAGCAGGGGTGCAACTAAATCTGGATGGACAATCGTTAAAAAGTAGCGGGCATCCCCCCTATGATGTTTCAAGGGTGAAGGAGTGATGATTCAAAGAGGGCGGGCGGATGTTCGAAGTGATGATTCGAGT